ATAGCGAAGAAGAATTTTGATTTTTCTAGCAATTTTGTTGGCCTCTATTATTTTGTAAATATATGTTTGACGAGAATTCGGTGTGATTATTAGTGTTTTCATTGTATTTTAGAGTTTTCGACTCGGAAATCATTTCATGGTGGAAAAATTCAGTTGAGATAACTTTTTCATGGGGTAATCAATTGCTATAATTGTAAGAGCAAGTAACTGAAAAACTACCACTGAAAAATAATATGCCAACGCCTATGTCGAGGCGGGAATTCCTTCTCTGTGCTGTTCCAATTGGTATTGGAAATACTATACCATTATTTGCCGGACAGGATCGGAGAGCTGGAATCTTTTTCGGCGGCGGACACTGTTGGTTGTACCGTGCCTGGCTAGTGGGCGGTTGTCCATTCATTTTCATTGTTCCAATCCTATCCGTATTTTGACAGGTGGGCCGTGCTGTGCTGTGCCGGACAAGTGGGCGACAAGCTTGAAAGTTTGAGGTATTTGATATTTGTAGTGTTCGCTGGTTCCATCTCGAAAGGTATTGCCCGATTTTGCCTGTCTTATTTTTATATTCAGGTTCTTGTATATATGAACTAATAAAAACGCTCTAAATACAATTCTTTCTCATAGTTAGCCAGAGCAATCTAACATACTCGGCAAACTCTTTGGTTGTGGTATTCCAAAAGTTTCTATCAAATTGAGAACTGCCAGAATAGTTTTGTATAAAACTATGAACAGAATTGGGAGGAAAAGTGAATTGATGTTCAACATCCATAGAAGGAAGTAGTTGTTTCTGGTTATACTATTCTTTTTCGTTTTTGTTGACATTTTCAGATACTCAACTGAACTGAACATATACAAATCATAGTAATCATAACTACCAATCCTTTATTGTTCATATAATGGCTTCCAGCAGGTCCAGGAAATCAGCAGAAAAACCTTGCTGGTTTCCTTACCAATTAGTATCCATCAGTCAATGTAATACTCAAACAACATGAAATGAAAGTATTCTAGCAAAGTCGGGTACATGATAACTATCATTATTTCCAATCTGACATAAACAGTTACATATTCTTATGAATCTATCTTCTCTTTCCATCTTAAAGGAACTCCCCACTCCAAATTCAAGCTGATCAACTGTCCCGCCGTTGGCAACAAATTCTGCTGCAACACACATCTATAGTGAGACGATTCAAAAAGCAACGCCAACCTATTCAGTGCCTCCATACATGGTGGCGGAGTTTTTCCACAGTATAACCCGGACTTAGCTAAAATATCGTGGAACGGTATCTTCAGGGTCACAACATACACGCCATCGGAAATAAACTGCATGTACAACCTCTTTTCGAAGGCATTGTCAGTGTTGAAGAATATTCTACACATACTAACGTCGCAGGTGTTCATTTCGTGCCAGATATTCAAGATAAATCCAGTGGATGGTCCTTCTAAGTAGAAGAAAAAATTGTTGCCGTTATCAACAAGAAAACCCGTTAAAATTTCGCTGTTCGCCAAATCAGTATTTTTCAAATTCAATCTCTTCCTGAGGGAATTCTCATTGTGTGCTGCTATATCGGTAAACACGCTCTTAGCTAGTTCCCAGTTATTTATGACCATGAAAATTCTCTTGAATGTTCTGGGTATTTGATGCAGGATTAGAGACGCTGCCTGTGGAGCCATCAGATAGACTTCAACCTTCAAAGTAGTTCCATATTTTATCAGCTCTTCCTCTGTTAATATATATTTCTGCCGCTTACACCTGGGTACTATATTAATTTCGTTCGCTGTCTGCATGTCTATGTACTGCACTCTCTCCGAATATTCCCTTGGCCTACTCGTCGCGGTTATATTCGGTAAATGACACTGGGCTTTCTCTTTGAAATCCCAAACGTTCTCGATCAAGGAACTGACATCAAAAGAAGCGACGGCCAGTAACACTTTAGTATCACTTCTACCTTCATCCCTTTCAAAATGTTGAAAGCTGGGGGATATTTTGCTAATATCCTTATCGTCTTCCTCCTCTCCGAAAAGGCTACACTTCGGCTTGATCTCAGGGGCATTTATGTTACCGTAGATTTCCACAAAGAACTTTTGAGTCTGCATGAACTCGATCACCTTGATTTTGGAAACTGTGTCAGAAAAATGCATGTGGGCTTCGTTGAACACCACTTTGGTGTCGATAGCTTTCTTTACTGTTTCACAGTAGGCAATATAAGGTATGTTATAGGAAGCATAAATTGTTTCCACACCAGCTTCTTTCAAAGTACTAACAGGAAGGTTATTGATCTTTTTGATCTTGACCACTAGCGGATTCAGCACGAGTTTCTGAGCCCGAGTCAAGAGTTTCTCATTCACTACAGAAATGAATGTGCTCTTCATAAAACCTGTAATGCAGCTCATCCCGTATGTTGTCGGCGAGGACTCCGTGAAGAATATCTCTGCAGGAACTTTGATAGTAACTTTATCCATAACAGTTTTTTTCTCCTTCACTTTCTTAGATGCTACTGACTTCGGAAGTAATTTGTTTTTAGCAACTTTGGAGGAGGATGTGCCTCCGATACTGATTGACTTCTGGCGTTCTTGAGGCGAGCACGAAAAAACAAAATCCCTGCATTCGACGTCCTCCCCGGAGTTCAGTTTTTTGATAATTTGGTAGAAAACATCGCAGTTATCTGGCACCAGTGCGCAAGAAATCGGTTCATCCCTTGGAACGTTGACACATCTCATAACGATATTCTTCATCATATTTTCTAGCGATTCTGGATCTTTCCACTGAACGATTTCATCCCCGTCAACTTTGATTTCAGTAAATACCTTGTTATCTTTGATATTTTCTAGATTAAGAGTTATTTTCTCATTCTTTACTAGACCAGCTGCCTTTTCTTTATGATCGGTTATATCAAACTGAATTATGTGGTTGTGTAAAGCCTTTATTTCAGTGAGGTTCATCTCCTTCAAGTAATGTTCCAAGCAGACAGGGATCCACGCTGTTTCGTTCTCGACCACAGTCAACATTGCTATTTGACCGTCATTCGTTAAAATTTTTGCTACTGGTCCCCAACAAACTATGTCGATGTCGTACTGTAACTTATTTGGAATCAATTCATATTGAATATGTGCTGCACCAACAATATTACTGGCGTCGTACGTGACTTCAGAGGTATCTTCCACAGTAGGCACCAGTTTCTTTTTCTTTTCTCTGACATTCGTTGCTTTCTCATTATTGTTCTGATTTCGTTTCTTTGGTAGCTTCTTCACTGAGTTGAAACCAAGTAGGAAGGATATTTTGAAAGTAATCATTAAAATAACCGTTTTTGTCAGATGCCTCAAAATATCAACTGACTTCAGTTTTCAAGTTGTCATTTCTAAAAGAATAAATAATCAGTGTTCTTTCCAAAAACTCTCAAGAAGCTCAATGGAATATGATGTGACCAAACAGAGATTACAGGAAACCTTTCTGTCGATCTGACTTTGAAGCCTCTCTTGTCACTCAATTTACTTGACAAGAGGAAAGAAAACACATCTTTAATTAGCAAATTATCGTGGTCGTCTACCGATTTTTACTGATTGTGAATAATTGCCTTTGCAACTCTTTGTTAAAAACATTTTTCAAAACAGAAAACAAAAACTTCGATGAATATGCAATAAAACGTCATTTGCAATTCATTTGAATTGCAAAGACTGATCGATATGTTACGTAGAACAAACAAGACATTACCTGAAGAACAGATTGTCTGAACATTAGAGAGACGCAAAAATTGAGTATTTTCAACTTGATTGCCCTCGTTGAAAACACAAGAGAAAATAAATCCCGACGTTCATCGGGAAAAAAAAACAAAATAGGGTTGATGCTAGAAGGGTCATAAAAATATTGAACAGTGTTTATTTCAAATTGTAGAATCAAATTTCTCAACATTTTGTCTAAAAAAAGTTTCAATTAACCTCTATACTTTGATATCTTCCTATCGCCTACAACTAAAAAAAAACAAAACATCCAATTTAAATCTGTTGTCTCTTCTGGAAAGCATATACATTATTAATGTGTCATTTTGTTAGACCTTTACTTCCTTGTCGTTAACTTTGGTAACATGGATGAACTAATGTTTGGTATGTCCCACTTTAGTGTTTTCCAAAAATGAGAATTAAATAATTGTATCAAATTGCACTATCTACTGGCATATATAGTGTTTCCTTATGAAATTATTTCATTATAGAACTCTGATGGTGGGCAATAATGTCTGAAGCGTCAACCAAAATCAAATTGTTCATCTACGGAAGTTTGTGATGACTTTCCCAACAAAAACACCTTTAGATATATTTTTACGTTATAAAAATGTAAAGCATTCCGTTGAGAATAATTTCCTGATACGTTTGCTCAGACATATTCGGTTTGACCAACCACGAAGTAAATTTCCACGCAGTACAAAACTAGAACACCGACGTCATGACACCGAGTAGCTTGCCTTAACCTTATAAACAATTCCTAGATTATATAAAAATAGTGAGATCGTGTCCCAGTTAGCGCCTGCCATAATAATTGTCAAGTCGAAATAATCGATCTTTCGCTTTGAAGTCGTAAAAACTATACCTAGAATCGGCATGAGATCACATTTATAAATACTGCACTTGTTTATTGCAAGATCAACATGTCTGATTTGTTAAAGCGATGTTAATTATTATTGTACTGGTTTCAGTTTATATATGCGGTGAGTGGAGCAATTAAAAAGAGCAATAAAATTCGATAATAAAAGGATCAGTACAAATTTGGATAACTTCCAATCGATCAAAATATTCACGAGGGAAAAACAAACAGGACAATAGCTGTTGGTGGTGTTTGTTGCTTTAAAATGTCTTCGGTTTATTTTCATCATTAGATAGATAAAGTATTTACTTCCCAAAGTGCAGCAAAGACAATATTTCGAAATGAATGGTGATTATGCATTAAGCTGTATGACAATTCATCAATACTAGTATAATTTTTTTTCAGCACACTTATGAACTTATTTGTACTGTACGATTTTGGTGACGCCGGAATGAGCACAGAACACTATCACTTGTTTGAAGGTGGTGGACTTCCATTGTCTAATATAATATGAATTGATTGAAAATCCCTGAAAAAAAATTAAAGAAATTAACCGAAAATAACAATTTTATTAAACAAAAAAAAACTGAAATTACAAAGAAATAACATGCAAGCAANGGGGCACCCACTTTTCGAGCTTGTAGACTTTTTCAATACCTTTTGAATCATCAAAAACCGCATAGGAGCTGACGCCTACGCACCATTTATGATGGATCAGTCTTCACCAGGGTCTACAAACCCTCATCCTGGATGACTGTAGGTCGAACACTTCTGGGCTCATCTTTGAAGATAAAATTTTCATTTGAAAATGTCCCTGTAGGACGGAAGTGCAGTTACGCTAGTTATAAATGAAAGTGGTATAAAATCATAGCAAGTTTCTATTCTCATTTTTCTACAAGTAACGACGCAAAACTCAGCAAATTGTAGTCTAGGAATGGCCGAGAACTTGTGAGCGACGTGAAATCGACTGCCTTGAATTCTCCTGCACATTCTCACAGATATGGGTCGATCGTTTGCTGTACCGTATTGTGATAGTACCGATGCTAAAAAGGCGTTTGTGAAAGCGCTACAAGCAGACTTATGACGTCATCCATCAGAAACAATTTTGATGTGTCGTGAAATCTGAAGGGATACGAAATAAAAATATTACAGTACATACATTTTCGACTGGTAATTTAAGTGAACATGTCATTATTATGATATACAGAAAGCAAAGTGCACGCATTGCAGCAAATTCGAAGATCTTTTTTTTACAGGTTGGTAATATTTGGGGATTGGAGATCTTCTCGTCACCAGCTCATCACAGAAGAGAACAAGATTGATGAATGGAACTACCACTAGAAAAGGTTCCATCACATTGAATCACCTTCCAAATAAGTTGACAAATGGCCAATGAACAATATTACAGGATATAAATTGAAAGAGGAGACATTTTTGAGGTTTTGGCTTTCTACTTCTCCATATTGATACAAAAAAATATGGGAATCTTCCAAAAAAAGAGAAGAAGCAATTAATTTCAGAATATACATTCAGAATATATATTTTCATACTTGTCAAACAATAGGAAAATCATAGAACATTCACATAAAGCCTGTTGCTTTCTTTGGCAACAGTAACAAAAAATATTTTCTGATAATCAGTAATCACAATATTATTCTAAATTAGGTAACAAGACAGTTATCTGGTAACAGGCTCATTATTCTAAGGTTAAAGGTTGTGTAGTTAAAAATAACTTTTCGTAAGAGTTGTACCAAACTCATAATCATAACGTAATCGCGTTTCAAACAAAAATGGATGAGTTCCCGATAACATGAAATTTAAAAGAAACAAACGATCGTAGATTCAGAGGTTTCGTGACCGTATTGATTTGGAAATTAGGTTAGAAATGTTCAGGAGGAATTTACGATACAAAATGGTAGAGTTTTATATACGGCAAAGATCATTATTGACTTCCCCTCGCATAAATTCTGCAGGACTCTGCACGCGATTGTACTTTTAGTCTCTGAAAACCTGTACAACCGAAAACGGAAAATCATTTTCTTTTGGAATAATTCTCGTTTCATTTGATACCCTTAGAAAATACCTGGTCTGTCATCTTGGGTGGTCAGCTATATCGGATGTAGAATGACATCACTTAGCCAATTAAGCACTGTTATCTAAACCAAACGTGCTTGCAAAATTGATATGGAAACTCGTTTCCTCTGTATCAACAGAAATATGTTCTACATATGAGTCAAGTCGGTGACTTATAATCTTGATTAGGAGCAATTGAGCGTATACAGATAACATCAGATGGTTACTGACAAACATATACTTTTTGAAATGACCTTCGAATGGAGTTTTGATAATTTTACAACAGCTCCCACCATTACCTACAACAAAAAATAGCGGGACAACATTTTTTTGTCTATAGGCTGGTCAGGAAAATAGCTGAAGTAACGAATATCCTTGAAACATAGTGGATAGGTTGATTGGGAAAAGAAAATTTGGACTTTTCAAACTTTTCACAAAGATGAAGACTCAAAATTTATATTTTTTACAGATGAAGCAAAACACATCAACGGATTGCCTGAAATTTTTGAAAAATTGAGTATAAAAGTGGCTTTCAAAATTGCTCGTAAACGCATGTTTAGCAACCCGAAAGACAAAACAACGGAAATGTTGGTTGAACTTGTAGTATAATACACGAAGATCGTAAGGAACCCTACTGCATCATTTGAAAGGAAGTTGTATCAGACTTTGAAAAAACACCAAGTCTATTTTTCGGAAAAAGAGAGATTATCACTAACACGTACCGCAGTAAGCCCCCTCACTCATATCTACCCAAAATCCACAAGAAGGATGTTCCGCTCAGACCGATCATTAGCTCCATAGATTCAGCCACTCAAAACTTGTCGAGATTTTTACTACCAATAATTAAACCAAGGAGAAACATCATCTTTTGTGATCAGTTTCGACGTTCCTGTCGAAGAAGCACATCAAATTATACAGATATATCCGAAGATGGGGACCTGAAAGATAGAACAAACTTACCGATACATGTAATAATGAAATTACTAGGATGCTGTGTACGAAACTGCTACTTCCATCTGAAGGACGAATTCTTTACGCGAAATGAGGGACTGCCAATGAGATCGTCACTTTCACTGGTAATATCCAACATATATATGGAGTGATTTGAAACTCTGGCCATTGGAGAAGCCCACAGAATTTTGTATTAGAAAAAAAAATGTATTCGACCGACAGAAAACCAGCTTTCTTTATGATTGATTTCTAACCCATCACATCTGATCCATGATGATGAAAATACAATTTTTGCACTTGAACATGTATTTAAAACGCGTTTCGTTACTCGGTAGCTTCACCAGTTTCGTTGATGAACATGATACATGTTAGTGTTCTATGAGGGACTGCCTATGGGATCGCCACTTTCACCGGTTATAGCTAATATATATATGGAGTGGTTTGAAACCCTGGCCATTGAAGAAGCCCACAAGAAGCCCCGAGTCTGGTTGAGATACGTGAACGACACCTTCATAATATGGAATCATGGGAATGCAGGACTAGACACCTTCCTGAAGCACATCAATAACGTAAGTCCTTCCATCACTTTCACAATGGAGAAGGAAGTCCACAACGAATTGTCTTTCTTAGACGTATTGGTGAAGAGGACCGACACTAAAAGGGAAACATCTGTAAACCGAAAACCCACTTACAC